AAAATCCATAAAAAATCCATTAAAAATCCATAAAAGTCCATTAAAAACCCATTAAAAAATCCATTAAAAATCCATTAAAAACCCATTAAAAATCCATTAAAAATCCATTAAAAATCCATTAAAAATCCATTAAAAATCCCTTAAAAACCCATTAAAAAAATTATAAAAATTCCATTTAACATCCATTAAAAATCCATTAAAAATCCATTTAAAATCCATTAAAAACCCATTAAAAAATCCATTAAAAATTCCATTAAAAACCCATTAAAAAAATTATAAAAATTCCATTTAAAATCCATTAAAAATCCAATTAAAAATCCAATTAAAAATCCATAAAAATTCCATTTAACATCCATTAAAAATCCATAAAAAATCCATTAAAAACCCGTTAAAAAATTAAAAAAAAAAACATTAAAAATCCATTTAAAAATCCATTAAAAATCCATTAAAAACCCATTAAAAACCCATTTAAAAAATTATAAAAATTCCATAAAAACCCATCAAAAAATTCCAAAAACCTCCTAAAAAAATCCAATTAAAATCCCTTCAAACCCCCCAACCCCCCCCTCATTAAAAACCCCTCCAAATCTCATTAAAAATTTTTTTAATTAAATTTTTTTTTTTTTCCCCTCACCTTGAAGGCGGTGACGGCGGCGCCGTAGCCGAGGCTGAGGAGGAAAAGGAGAAGGAAAATTCCAGAAACCCAAAATTCCGAATCTTCGGGAATTTCACCCAAATCGCGAGCGGGGAAAGCCCAGACCCAAAAAGGGAGAAAATCTGGAAGGAAAAAAAAAAAAAAAAAAAAAATTAATTAATTGATTAATTAATTAATTGATTAATTAATTAATTAAATGGGGGGATTAATGAATTAAGACATGGATAAAATGGGGGGGGAAATAAATGGGGGAATAAATGGGGGGAAAAATGAATTAATGAAATTAATTGATAAATTAATGAAATGGGGAATAAATGGGGAAAAAATGGGGAATAAATGGGGGAAAATTAATTAATGAAATTAATTCATAGATTAATGAAATGGGGAATAAATGGGGAAATAAATGGGGAAATAAATGGGGAAAAATTAATTAATGAAATTAATTCATAGATTAATGAAATGGGGAAAAAATGGGGAAAAAATGGGGAAATAAATGGGGGAAAATTAATTAATGAAATTAATTCATAGATTAATGAAATGGGGAATAAACGGGGAAATAAATGGGGCAAATTATTAATTAATAAAATGGGGGATAATATTAATGAAATTAATTGATAAATTAATGAAATGGGGAAAAAATGGGGAAAGAAATTAATGGAATTAATTAGTACATTACAAAATTCACCCCAAAAATCCACATTTTTTCCTCAAAATATCCCCGAATTTCACCCCAAAAATCCCCGAATTTCACCCCAAAAAATTCCCGAATTTCACCCCAAAAATCCCCAAATTTCACCCCAAAAATCCCCGAATTTCACCTCCTAAAATCCCCGAATTTCACCTCAAAAATCCGCATTTTCCCTCCCAGAAATCCTCATTTTTTTCCCCAAAAAATCCCCAAATTTCACCCCAAAAATCCCTAAATTTCACCCAAAAAAATTCCCGAATTTCACCCCAAAAATCCCCAAATTTCACCCCAAAAATCCCCGAATTTCACCCCAAAAATCCCCAAATTTCACCCCAAAAATCCCCAAATTTCACTTCCTAAAATTCCCGTTTTCCCTCCCAAAAATCCGCATTTTTTCCCCAAAATATCCCCAAATTTCTCCTTCTAAAATCCCCATTTTTTCTGCCAAAAATCCACATTTTTACTGCCAAAAATCCTCATTTTTTCACCAAAAATTCGCATTTTTTCCCCGAAAAATCCCCAAATTTCTCCTGCTAAAAATCACATTTTCTCCTCATAAAATCCTCATTTTCCCTCGCCAAAATCCACATTTTCCCTTCCAAAAATCCTCATTTTTCCCCCAAAAATCCCCAAATTTCTCCTTCTAAAAATCACATTTTCTCCTCTTAAAATCCACATTTTCCCTCGCCCAAATCCACATTTTTTCACCAAAAATCCGCATTTTTTCCCCAAAAAAACCCCAAAATTGCCCAAAAAAAATCCGAAAAAAACCACAACCGACACCGAACGTGAATTTCCCAAAACTTTATTTATTCCCCCCCAAAAAAAATTCCAAATTTTTTCAGTAACACACGAGGTCGGAGTCCGCCAGCACCACCCACACGTCGGACAACAAATCCCACAAATTTCACCCCAAAAATCCCCAAATTTTACCTCCTAAAATTCACATTTTCCCTCCCAAAAATCCGCATTTTTTTCACCAAAAATTCGCATTTTTTCCCTAAAAAAATCCCACAAATTTCACCCCAAATATCCACATTTTCCCTCCCAAAAATTCACATTTTTACTGCCGAAAATTTGCATTTTTTCCCTAAAAATCCCCAAATTTCTCCTTCTATAATCCACATTTTCTGCTCATAAAATCCTCATTTTCCCTTCCAAAAAATTCACATTTTTTCACCAAAAATCCGCATTTTTTCCCTAAAAAAACCCCCAAAATTGCCCAAAAAAAATCCGAAAAAAAACACAACCGACACCGAACGTGAATTTCCCAAAACTTTATTTATTCCCCCCAAAAAAAACAATTTTTTCAATAACACACGAGGTCGGAGTCCGCCAGCACCACCGACACGTTGACGTGCGCCGGCCGCGCCGAGCTCTTGTCCAGGTTCCTCTGCACGAACTTGACGCCCTCGAGGCCCTCGTGCCCGACCACGCAGCCGAAAACGTCGCCCCTCCTCCACTCCTCCGCCGGCACCGACAGCTTCGAGTAGGCCGAGAACCTTCCGGAAGCGTCCGCTTCCGGCCCCAGCACCGAGAACTTCCGGGGGTCCACGGGCTCGTCCTGCTGCGTCCACGTCATCAGGACGTCGCGCGGCGCGAAGCCGCTGGCCAGGCACGTCAGCGTGGCGCGCTCCGACAGCGCCAGCTCCTCCGGCGGCGGCGGGAAGGCGAAAACTTTGGGCGGGACGGCGGCGGCGCCTGGAAAAGGGACGGGGGGGGGAAGGGGGGAAGGGTTGGAGGAAGGGTTGGCGATTTCCGGCACCGGGGTGAGCCGTTTTCCGGTTTGGCGTCGGCAGCTTCCGGTTTGCGGAAAAGCATTTCCGGTTTGGGGTCGGCAGTTTCCGGGTTGCGGAAAAGCATTTCCGGTTTGGGAT